TTTTTTTTTTTTCCTGTCTCAGTTTGTTTTAAAACCTGTTTGTCATCAAATAAAATATGAAAATAAACAGCTCTTGCATTCAAGGTGGCCCCTTACGTTTCAATGAGGAAACCATGCAACGTTCATTAAAGCTTAGTCTGATTGTATAAACTTCAAGTTTATTACTTTTTTATTTTTTAAACACAGACTAGTACAAAAGTGTTGGGGTGGGGGTGCATAGCATGGGGAGGGGGAGTAACTCAACTGGGAAAAGTGGGAAATGCCCCAACCCTCTGCCCTGGGGGTGGGGGGGGGGGGGGCGGGGGGGGAGCCCCAGGATTTGGGAAAGGCTGGAGCTGGAAGCTGCCTCTGCTCTGCAGTAAACATGAACATGGCTTTTACCTGTCCCAGGGCTGGGGGGGCTCCTGGGACCACCCTGGGGAGGGGGCTCAGGCCAGGTCTTGGCACCACCCTGTGCTTAAACTCCTCGCAGCTCCTCCAGGGTGACTCCAGTGGCTCCCTGGCTGCAGGAGAGGGACATTTGCCCTTCGTGGTGTTGGAGTCCCCTCCTGGCCCCAGCACAGGTTCAGAACAATTAATACTTGAAGGTTTGGTTTTGTTTTGTTTTGAACTCTTTATTTTAAGCCTGGGATTTGACTCCCCGGAGTTCAGCCCTACTCTAAGCCCTTAGAACGTTTCCAGTGGCTGAAATGGGTTTCAGGTGGAGCAGAGCAGGGCTGGGCTGGCCCTGGAAGCTCTCAGGAAACCCCTTTGGGTGGGAAAAGGTTAGTAAAGCTACACCTAAAAGTACTCGAGCTGCTCCAGTCTTGGTCTTCAGCTGCACGTTTTAGGGGGTGTTGTTAAGCAAAAGAAAACCCAAAAACAAACACCGTCACAGGGGACCCCCCCACAGTGGTTAAACCCTCAGTGCTTCCCCCAGGGAGGGGGGAAAGGGAGGTGCTAAAAACTTCATCAGACCTCGGAGACACAACGTCGGTACAGAAACAGCAAAGGAAAGGAAAGGGAGGCCACGGGGGCAGGTTCACAGTTAACAAAAAAGAAAAAAAAACCCACAAAAATT